GATGTCATTCGATCATTTTGACATTTCTACGGCATTAATCAGCTACTGGCGTGTTAGCTGTAGTTCCTGTGTGTGTGAACGCGCCGCGTCGCGCTCGTGTGTAAACGTGTAGCTCGGTGTGTGACCGCAATCCCTGTGTGTTCTTGCAGTGTACATCGCAGGATTGTCATCTACCTGCTCCCTGCCTCAAAAGCAGTAAGAGCAGAAGCCGGGAGACAGACCATCTGTGTATGAGCGCCAACCGAGGTGACCGTGCAGTACAGTTGCGATTTTATCGGACAGAGGATAAATCGTAGCCAACTCCATATCAAAAGAGCGCGACACACAAGGAAACAACCGTCCGATCATCTGAGCGATGCTCGGCTCTCACTTTTTGCCGGGCCGTGCTAGCGCTGAATACGACTGCGAAGGGGGGGGGGGGGGGCCCGCATTGCCGCCAGTTTGTAGCGGATAGCGCTGCAGGGCGGCTCCTCTCGCCCTTGCATTCCCTTGCACAGATGTAGTCTGCGCTAGGATGCTTGCGACATCGCTAACCTATTTCTACGCCGACGACGACGTGCCAACTGAGAGCTTCTGTAGTACTCCTTCGCTCGCGTCGCTGGCAAAAGTTCTTGTTAGCATGCACGGAGACGCGAGAAATCTATAAGGAGATGGTTTTTTGTTATCCCATCACGGCAACAGCGCGCGCGCACACCACGAATAATATGAATTGGTCACGTGGAGTGCAGCGGACTATATCTGCAGGCGCGGAAGGATGGGGGAGAGTTAGTTGATTGTGGTGAGAGAAAACGACAGCGGTCGGCGGCCCAGCTAAGCGAGTTGGTTGGTCCGAACAAGACCTCGGCGCTCCACACTCGCCGGCATTTATGGGAATTTTTTTCGCGCTCAATGGTTTCATTGACCGTCGCCTTGGATAATGATTCCAACCGTGAAGCTGATCGAGCCGCAGACGAGGACGACGTCGTGATTCGCTGACTGCGCCCTCCTCACCCGCCACTTAGAGGTATATGGTAATTAAATGCATTATTTTCGCACACACGTCTTCATTCGCGCGATTCTGTCGCAACTCAAGCGAGAGGAAAGCCGTCCCGTGTGGCCCCAAAACAAGAGCACTCAGTGGACCGGATTTTTTTTTTTGCCTCGCAATCATTTCGGCGCCGCGGCAGCCGGCGGGCGGCGCTTGGCTGTTTGGGGGGCGCCTTTCGGGGCGGGGCCTCGTTGTTGGTCGGGTTGCGCGGGGGGGCTTGGCACGCAGAGCGCGCTCTTGGAAGGGCCGGCCTGTACGACTGGCATGGCGGGGCGGGCGCGACTCCCGCTGCCGGTTCGGTAAAGCGACGGCGCGGCGCACTGGATACATACACATCCACGACGAGCATCCTGCTCTTGACAGCCGCTCACAGCGGCGACGTCCGCCTCCGGCCCCACGCCGCATGCCGGTGCCTGTGCTTCCGCACAACTCCGCACGGCCCGGCCCCTCCCGCGACGTCGCCTCGTAACCCTCGGATACGCCCTCACTGGCTGGAGCGCTTCCTGCCGGCCGCGAGCAGCGTTCGGTGCGCAGCAGTGCTTATCAGCAGCACCACATGGGTGGCCCGGCCCCCATTTTTTTCCTGTTTGTTCTGTTATAATCATCTGTTCTATTTGCGACTTTCAGCCGCCAAACCACAAGATATACTATCTGCGGCCGATACGCGCCGCCAATTGTGTCTGCAGCCGAAGGGGGCCGCCAGCCTTGTGCGCGTGGTCGGCGGCCGCCTGCGTTCTTGCAGCAGCCGCGGCCGGGCCGAGTTGCCCCAGCGCCCCGGTTATGGCGAAGCATACATCTGGATGGGGCAGAAAAGAGGCGATGGAAGCAGAGCAGGAGCGCGAGTAGCTGACGCACGCAGACGAGAAAATCACCTACAGGAAGGCCGTGATCGATTGTTGTGAAATAGTAACCTATTGTATAAATTAGACGAACGATACGACAATTAGCAATGGCCAGAGCGATGGTAGCTCCGCACGACAGACAGAGAACACCACAGGAAGGCCGTGATCGAGACAAGAGCGACGTAGCTGTGCACGCACGCGACACAGCCTAGATGAAGAAAACAGCCTACAGGAAAGGCGTGATACGGCTTTGCAGGGGCAGATGTGCGCAAAAACACAAATGAGGCAACACTATCAATAATACAAGACAATCAGGTACATGCTTTGGGTTGCAAAGAGACTAAGATAAGAAACAAGAGCGTACAACATGGAGAAGTGCCGAGGAGTGCATAACGCACAGAATTTACTGCGAATACAGAAAGACTCTCATTGCGAACAGAGAGAAGACACATCTCTACAGCACGAAATATGATTCGCAAGAGATATGAACTCGATGGACAGAGCAACGCCAAAATGCTCTTCATGCACGACGGAGAAAACCGAGCACCTGCAGAAGGCGGGTGATCGAGCAGAGCGAAATCGCTCAGCTTCCCACTGCAGACGAGAACACACCCGCTAACAAGGAGAAGCGGGCAGATCTCGAACAAATGCCAGAAGCGTACTGCAACATGTGGTATGAGCTACGGATACAAACACAAGCGTAGGCGAGACTCTTAACAGCTGCAGACGAGAAAACCCCTACATGGAAGACGCGATTCGACAGAAGCGACCATTCCATCAAATGAACCGGACTTTTAACAGCTTTAGTGTCCGTCGGCACGAGAACACACACCCTAACAGGAAGAACTCGATGGACAGATGCCCGACGCATAGCTCTTTAATGCAGACGAGAAAACACCCTGACAGGAAGCACGTGATGGACGAGCGACGGTAGCTCGCACGACTCCTCGCGGCCTCTACGGCGCGGCGCCGGCAGCACGAGAACAGCACACTACAAGGAAGGCCGTGACTCTCGACAGACGCGACATCAGCTCGCCGCACGCAGGACGAGAACAACACGACTACAGGAAGCGGGAAAATTCCCCAACATTAAAACTCAACACAAAGGGTATGTTGCTCAAAATAATAAAATGCCAGCCCCACTCCTCCACCTCGATGAATATCGTCGCCAAGTTGACCAACTATAGATATGTTAATTAACAACCAAAAAATCCTTCCATAAATCCTCCCTTAGAACAAAACTTCTTGCCAAGCGGCACACGAGAAATAGCCTCACATTACACTGGATTCACCGACAAAAATAGGTTTCTTTGGAAATTTACTGGCGACAGGCGAGACTCCAGATAACCGGCGCACCCTCGGACGAGCCGCCTTTACAGGTTGTCGGACTCGTTCGCGAGAAAATAAAGCCGACCTTCTACGTGTTATCTGAAAACTAACAATGCAAACGAGTTAAACAAGCAGTCTTATTCTAATCAGCACAAAGACTAACGACACCAATTCTAGCAGTAATACAGACAACCTATCACACAAAGGACCATCCTAACCACCTCATCCAGCGCTTGATTGGTCGATTTGCCATCCGCGATACCCTTAAACCGCACGCCTAAGGGTCGTATCCCCGGTGTTACCGCATGTCACCGGCCGCGGCGCGTTAGCGTTTAGGGTTTAGGGGTACGAAGTCAGGGATTAGGGTTAGGGTATAGCCGAGTTAGGGTGTGGGACCAGCTTAGGGCAGCGCGCATGAGGTTAGGGCGCTTTAGGCTTAGAGTGCTCAAGCGGACACCAAAATGGTGCGTATCCTTGGGAAAACAAAAAGAGGAACATATGTCGAGAGCTATAGGTAGACTGCAGGATCCGAGGTACAGCCCGCGACCTGAGAGCGAAGTTATGAAGGGCATCCGCGAAAACATAAGAGTGAATGCCTTAATCGCGGCATGTAGAAAGGTCTAAGCAGAGCAACTTGCGTTGGTAGCCGCACGCTCCGCAGACAATTCATGTACGAGATAGTAGGCGCTGGAGTCCGTATCACGAGAGTTCTACCGTGACCACCCGAATACATAGTGTGCGCACAACACCAATACTAAATAGACGAGCGGAGCTGGGCTGCGCCTTACGACTGCAGACTGATGGCGCCAAGACATTCTAGGAGAGCAAAATAAGAGACTACATGAAATCTAATAAGCAATTCTAAGACGCATGTACGCCTTCTATTGAAGATGGGCTAGGTTTACCGCAGTGGACGATCTCTTTAATTACGATTCAAATAACGGAACCATGCTAAGGACAACGCGGCGATTGTCCCATCGGTGAGACTATCCTTGCGAGCTACGTTACTCAATAGGGGCGGATGTTTAGAGCGGGCGCCGAAAGACACCTGAACACAGCCTCTGTTGCCTGTTGATCGCGGGCTGGCAGGGTGTACTATAGTATACTCCATCTATCTTGGCCCAGCAGGCCTTCTGCTCGTACTCTTCTCATCTGTCGTTCCTTTCGTGCGGATTTTTCCTTCGTAACATCTGCTCTCCCGTTCATCGCTCTCTAGTTTTTCTGTGCTCTTTCCTACTCTAATCCCTTTCGATTATCTCTTCTCAATTTCCTCTTTGTCCCTTTCTGCCGCGTCTCACATGCTTTTTCTCTTTTTTTTCAGCTGTCACTTGAAATTAAAAACACTCTCTCCTCATCCTCTCTCCTCTCTCTCCCACCTCCTCCTCCCTCCCCCTATGCTTGGCGTCACTCTTCGGTCATTCCTCATCACCCTATACCCCCTATCTCATCCCTTTCCTCTCATCGTCATCTCTCATCGTCTACCTCTCTCTCCTCCTCTCGGGCCTCTCATCCTCTCCTCTCTCTCTCTCTTCCTCGCGTTCCTTCCAGCTCCTCTCCCTCCCCCTCGCTCTTCTCTTCTCACTTCATCTCTCGTCTCATCTCGTCTCCTCTTGGAATTAGAGATGTCACTCAAATTAAATACATACACATATTTACTCATATACGATGTACGTTATTTTGGCATAACCGATATTCTTTATGCATGCATGCGAATGACCTACCGACGTCTCACAATGTCGACTGTGATGTTACGCAGGTCACAAGCTGGTCTACTTGGACCCACACTACTGCCAGGAGGCTGTTGATTGTCAAGTTGACAACTTTAAACTAGGGTGAGTTGCAATACCGTAGGCAGCCTGAGGATTCCTCACGGTACAATGTGTAGAACAGTATATATAGCGCCATGCATATATAGGTGCATATTCAACAATCTATATAGCAGTGGATATAAAAGTGTGTATAACACTATTATGATATATATATATATATATAATAGCACATATTTATATATATAATAGCAGGTAAGGCCATGGGTTTTTTCAGAACCCTTGTTGGCGGCCTTTGCACAATTGCGTTTTCTCCGTACCAGAGGAGGTCATATTAATAAGCAATTCCACAATACACCTCTGAGGCAACTAAATACTCCAACATGTCTGCTAAAAGCACCATGCACTGCGTAGAAACTTAAATTGAACGAAATCTTACTTTGTGATGTTTTTGTTTTTTGTATTCTACTGGCACTTGCACCTGGCCTTTAGAAGACGCATAGCTCGCTAGAGTAAAATCTTGAGTAAGAATAAGCGTAATGAATTTGCATAAATCAAGAGCTCAGCACCAAAATACCGCAGATTTAAAAACAATTTAGGAGAGTGTGCCGCCCGCAACGCCCGCACCGCCATCTGTGGCCACCCGGTAAACCTACATATGGAATTATATATATATATCAGATATATATAACAGTTCTATACAAAGTGTAATATATATAAGTGTACATAACAGTATATAAGAAAAAGGAAACACAGATAACAGTGTATATGCATAGTGTATAGTGGGTGATGAGCTGACTATTGCATGCCTCATGCGGTTCGGCTGGCAAGACATTCCACCTGCATGACACCGGCGCAGATGTCACTGAGCAAGATGGAACGCTCTAGCTGGCACAGTGGGCTTTCTACCTGCGCACGAGGCTACACTTTGAGGAGTTCCAGGCTGCTGCACAGCACCGCAGGTAGCGTCCATTATTGATCACGTAATGATGAGATGGATGATCGGCTCGACTGTGCGACTATAGACAAGTGTTGTTATGAGACACGCACGCGTGCCACGCAGGTACGTTCACTCATGCACGCACATAGATGCACCCACGCGTGCACGCATACGAAGCAGATGCACGACACTAGACAAATGCAGACGCAACACACGCACGCAACGGCACACATGCATGAATGAGCACCATGCAGCGCACACCACAGGCACAGCATGCATGAACGCACGCAGCAACACACACACACACACAGCACACACACACACACCACACACACACACACACGGCAACACACACACAACCACAACACACATCGCACCGTGCACACACAGATTGGCCAACCCAGGCACAGCGACGTCAGTCAGCCAACGCCGCACGCAGCGCACGCACGGCAGGAGCACACACACATATTATATATGATAAGTCTAAGGTCGAGCTATAAGTATTTCTTCCTGTAAATGGGACGCATGTCGCAACATCTACTGTTTGATATATTTGCCTCTTGGGGCCAGTTATTGATCTCGCGCCAAAAAATCGGGGCGTGACTACCCGATGTTCGCCTTCTGTTAATGGCTCGAGCGAGGACCACGAGTATAGAAGCGCATCGCAGGAAAGCGCCGGAACAAGCCTCCTCCATATAAAAGGCACTATTCGAGCAAGAGCGGTAAAGTGGTGCAGCGAAGCCAGAGGAGTTTGTCTCTTTGTGAATTCGTGTTGAAACGAAAAATCGATTATAACAAAATGTAAAAATAATTGTTTAGCAGTTCGTGATACTCAATATTTATGGTGAAATTCAATGCCCAGAATGCTAAATGTATTGAACTATTGTAGCAATTGATAATGTTAAGTTCCAAATGGGAAGAGACACACATATTAGTAATCATATAAATGGTACTTAGTTTGTATGTATCGTATGTATATAAGCCATGTTTGTTAAGGGCTTGGACGTACATAATCTGCTTTGATGTGAAGTGTAAAAATAGCTGTGCAAGTTTTGCGGGCAAGTCCTCGAACTATTTAATTTGTATTATTCTTTCCTTATTCGTATGCTAACTTGAAGATGAGTAACACTATTGATTTTAGGATTGGCTTGACAGCAACTACTGTCTTCAAGTATTCATAGTGTCAACTGGAAACGAGCGTCACTGCTGTCCTTCTGACCAAGTGTTCCACTTACCGGTTCCATCCATCGCGTATCCCTCGTCAGGCATCCATCTACAATGGCTTCTTCCCACGTGAGTTTTATTTACTCATTTTATCGTATCGCCTCTGCCCTCTGCTTCCGGCTTTTTTTACTCGTCTCTCCTCGCACTTCTTAGTCTGCTGCTTCGCTGTCCTCCTCATCTAGCTTCTCCCTTTACTACTCTTCCATCAGCTTCTTTCTCACCACTGAGCCAACACTTTACCGTTCCCCTTCTCCTCACCTCTCCTCCCTTCACCTTCTCCTCACCTCTCCTCCCTTCACCTTCCCCTCACCTCTCCTCCCTTCACCTTCTCCTCACCTCTCCTCCCTTCACCTTCTCTCCTCACCTCTCCTCCCTTCACCTTCTCTCCTCACCTCTCCTGTCATCAGATTCCGTTCTCCTTTTCTTATTCGCAATCACTCTCCTCACCTTTCTAGCCATCAATATCTATAGTCATTTCTGCTGACTTCAACTTTTATTCTCATCTCACTTCTGCTCTCCACAATTCCTCTCCTCAAATTTCATCCACACTGCCTCTGTTGTCAGCTTTTATCCTAAACCTCTCATCAAATAAAATTAGACAACGTAATCACGCCAACCCCCCTTACATCGGTTTTGCTTAGCAGCACCTTTCGGCGGATAGTTCATGTTTCCCAGCTGGAAGTGGTTGTGAAATATTCATTTAACGGCCGATATCAAACGACTTCGGTGTGAGTGATCAATCGTTCGGCGTTAATTGACTCTCGAATTCGCAGCGTCTGCAGCGACCTCAAGCGCTCGCTGCGTTTGTGCTATCAAGTGTACATGGTTGTTAGCAGAAGACTATCACCCGCGCATGCGCGATCTCACCGCGGTGATGCGTGCCCCCCCCCCCGCGAGCGTGTCTCTGTGTGTGCTTTGTTTACGACCGTTGTTAAGACCAACCGAAGAACATTGCTCTGGAGAGACAACGCGCCGAACGGCCCGCAGTAATCTTTTCTCATACATTAGTATAGGGGCGGGGGCGAATGGCAGGGCGCTGCCGTCCAATGGTGTCAACTCGACTCCCGTCGACGCCACGCCAGAATTGGTTACTGTCGGTGTATTATATCAAGATATATGTATGTATCAAGAGCTAGAAAAAGGGAAATATTGAGATCGGAATCTGCAATGCGCGCTTGTTTCTGGCCGGTCCGTCCGTCTACTGTTGCGCAGGGTGCTGTCAGAGACACGTGTCGTCGCTTGTAGATGCACGCATGCTAATGACTACTGCTAGCGACTCGCTCAGCAGCCGACGTCGAGAGCTTCACGGCCTGTATTGATGCTGGCGTCAGCCGCAACCGCAGCATCCTCCTCCTCCTCCTCCTCCTGCTTTTCCTCCTCCTCCTGCTTTTCCTCCTTCTCCTCCTCCTCCCCATTCTCCTCCTCCTTCTGTTCTTCCTCCTGCTCCTTCTCCTCCTCCTCCTTCTCCTCCTCATTCTCCTCCTCGTCCTCTTCCTCTTCCTCCTTCTCCCCCTCCTCCTCGCCGTGCCCGCCGCGCACATCCCTATATGCACGACGACCATCCATCTCTCTTCGTCTGCCTCGCGACGTCAGCTTCAGATGAAGCACTCGTGTTCCGCAGCAGATGTCATTCGATCATTTTGACATTTCTACGGCATTAATCAGCTACTGGCGTGTTAGCTGTAGTTCCTGTGTGTGTGAACGCGCCGCGTCGCGCTCGTGTGTAAACGTGTAGCTCGGTGTGTGACCGCAATCCCTGTGTGTTCTTGCAGTGTACATCGCAGGATTGTCATCTACCTGCTCCCTGCCTCAAAAGCAGTAAGAGCAGAAGCCGGGAGACAGACCATCTGTGTATGAGCGCCAACCGAGGTGACCGTGCAGTACAGTTGCGATTTTATCGGACAGAGGATAAATCGTAGCCAACTCCATATCAAAAGAGCGCGACACACAAGGAAACAACCGTCCGATCATCTGAGCGATGCTCGGCTCTCACTTTTTGCCGGGCCGTGCTAGCGCTGAATACGACTGCGAAGGGGGGGGGGGGGGGCCCGCATTGCCGCCAGTTTGTAGCGGATAGCGCTGCAGGGCGGCTCCTCTCGCCCTTGCATTCCCTTGCACAGATGTAGTCTGCGCTAGGATGCTTGCGACATCGCTAACCTATTTCTACGCCGACGACGACGTGCCAACTGAGAGCTTCTGTAGTACTCCTTCGCTCGCGTCGCTGGCAAAAGTTCTTGTTAGCATGCACGGAGACGCGAGAAATCTATAAGGAGATGGTTTTTTGTTATCCCATCACGGCAACAGCGCGCGCGCACACCACGAATAATATGAATTGGTCACGTGGAGTGCAGCGGACTATATCTGCAGGCGCGGAAGGATGGGGGAGAGTTAGTTGATTGTGGTGAGAGAAAACGACAGCGGTCGGCGGCCCAGCTAAGCGAGTTGGTTGGTCCGAACAAGACCTCGGCGCTCCACACTCGCCGGCATTTATGGGAATTTTTTTCGCGCTCAATGGTTTCATTGACCGTCGCCTTGGATAATGATTCCAACCGTGAAGCTGATCGAGCCGCAGACGAGGACGACGTCGTGATTCGCTGACTGCGCCCTCCTCACCCGCCACTTAGAGGTATATGGTAATTAAATGCATTATTTTCGCACACACGTCTTCATTCGCGCGATTCTGTCGCAACTCAAGCGAGAGGAAAGCCGTCCCGTGTGGCCCCAAAACAAGAGCACTCAGTGGACCGGATTTTTTTTTTTGCCTCGCAATCATTTCGGCGCCGCGGCAGCCGGCGGGCGGCGCTTGGCTGTTTGGGGGGCGCCTTTCGGGGCGGGGCCTCGTTGTTGGTCGGGTTGCGCGGGGGGGCTTGGCACGCAGAGCGCGCTCTTGGAAGGGCCGGCCTGTACGACTGGCATGGCGGGGCGGGCGCGACTCCCGCTGCCGGTTCGGTAAAGCGACGGCGCGGCGCACTGGATACATACACATCCACGACGAGCATCCTGCTCTTGACAGCCGCTCACAGCGGCGACGTCCGCCTCCGGCCCCACGCCGCATGCCGGTGCCTGTGCTTCCGCACAACTCCGCACGGCCCGGCCCCTCCCGCGACGTCGCCTCGTAACCCTCGGATACGCCCTCACTGGCTGGAGCGCTTCCTGCCGGCCGCGAGCAGCGTTCGGTGCGCAGCAGTGCTTATCAGCAGCACCACATGGGTGGCCCGGCCCCCATTTTTTTCCTGTTTGTTCTGTTATAATCATCTGTTCTATTTGCGACTTTCAGCCGCCAAACCACAAGATATACTATCTGCGGCCGATACGCGCCGCCAATTGTGTCTGCAGCCGAAGGGGGCCGCCAGCCTTGTGCGCGTGGTCGGCGGCCGCCTGCGTTCTTGCAGCAGCCGCGGCCGGGCCGAGTTGCCCCAGCGCCCCGGTTATGGCGAAGCATACATCTGGATGGGGCAGAAAAGAGGCGATGGAAGCAGAGCAGGAGCGCGAGTAGCTGACGCACGCAGACGAGAAAATCACCTACAGGAAGGCCGTGATCGATTGTTGTGAAATAGTAACCTATTGTATAAATTAGACGAACGATACGACAATTAGCAATGGCCAGAGCGATGGTAGCTCCGCACGACAGACAGAGAACACCACAGGAAGGCCGTGATCGAGACAAGAGCGACGTAGCTGTGCACGCACGCGACACAGCCTAGATGAAGAAAACAGCCTACAGGAAAGGCGTGATACGGCTTTGCAGGGGCAGATGTGCGCAAAAACACAAATGAGGCAACACTATCAATAATACAA